GATGTTAGAGAGCTGGGTGACTGGGCAACAAAATTCAGCCTTGATAAATGCAGAGTAATGCACACTGGAAAACACAATCCCAAATATACATACAAAATATGGAATTTAAATTAGCTATTGCCACTCAGGAAAGAGATCTTGGAGTCATTGTGGATAGTTCTCTGAAAACGTGATGTTGCACACGAGCAAAGTTCTGCTCTACCTAATCCAGGATCGCATTAAACGAAGGATGTAAGCAGAACTATCATCACAACAAGCTGGTTTTGGAGAGGGCCAAGGCACACATGACAGATCATGAATATCTGTCAATCATTGAAAAATGTAGAGTGCAGTCATCCATTGATCCTTTGTTTCATTGACTAATCAAAAGCATTTGATACCATTCAACATGACTATCTTTGAAGGATTTTGGCTGACAAGGATTCCAAAGCATTTTATTGAATTCACTGCAGTCTCTGCCAACACACCAGAATGTGAACAGCAGTAGGTGACAGTAAGTGGTTTTCCATTGCTGCCCAATGTGTGAGACAAATTTTGGCCCAAGCCTCTTTAACCTATATGCAGAATTTATTCTGAGACAAGCCTTGGAAAGTTTTGACAAAGTGGAAGGAGCTGGGATTTCCATTGGTGAACATCACTTAACCAAGCTCAGATATGCTGATAACACAATACTCTTTGCTACAACCCTTGATGCAATCCAACAAATGTTGGGATCTGTAAAAACAGTTAGTGAGCAATATGGACTATTCCCAACTGAATACAACTGGACTGAAACAAAATAGTTGTCAATGTACATGCAACAAAAAGAGGATTGAAGTTGACGACATGATTAATGGGCAAGTTGTAGATGAATTTAGTTATCTGGGATCATATATAGCCAAACATGACAGCTTTTCCAAAGAAATTGGAAGAAGGATAGGGTGGCTTGCTCAGCCATGGCCTCATTTGTGGAAAAAACCTTGGCATCTCAAAGTACAAAAGTGCAACTGGTGAAATACCTAACTTTTTCCATAGCGATTTATGAATGTGAATGGTGGGAAGTTGATGTGACTGACGAGAAGAAAATTGAAGCATTTGAAATATGGTGCTGATGAAGACTCTTGCGTATCTCCTGATGGAAGAGAAGACAAATGCCTGTGTTAGAAATATTATTGAAGAGAAGCAGACCATTATGTTGGAAATCAACTGATGCAAACTTGTTTACTTTGGTCACATTAGGCATAGAGATGGAAATAACCTTGAGAAAATTATGTAAAGAAATGGTGGAGGGTCTTCAGAGTGCAGGATAATCAGTGAGGAGATGGATGGATGATGTGTGGCAGATCACTAGGAAGATCAGCTTTTGAATGTTCAAAGCTAACAATGGATTTTGAAAGCTTTAGAAAATTCTGCTATATCAGTGATTTTTGAACATGAATACATAGATTTGGTTAATAATTCAAGAACAGCGGAATGTGTCGGGCAGTTCATATATGGTGAATAACCAGCACTTGTTCAATAAATCTAGGAAACTAGCCACAGCATACAGACTTTGCTAATACTACTGAAAAATGTTGCAGAAGTTGGAATGAATACTTAAAAATAATTAACTCAGTATTTCCTTCAAGCACGTGTTTTGGTAGGCCCCCACTAAACTTTCACTTCTTTCACCACTGTATGTTCTTTTCCAAAGACTTTCCCAAGTTTAACTTAATATAAAGTAATAGAATGAAAACCTATATACATGGTGTCATAAATATAGGGGGAAGGATAGCAACCTTTATGTATGCAGTAGCATAAAATCCTTCTTTGGCAGCTGTACTGGATTGCCTTACCTGTAAGGGGTTAAGCAGTTCAAATAACCTAGTTGGCACCTGACCAGAGGGACCAATGAGGAAAGAAGATACTTTCAAATCTGTGGCAGGAGGATTTGTTTTGTTTTGTTCTCTTTTTGTTGTTCCCTCTTCCGACTGAGGGAGAAGCCAAGCAGGTACAATATCTCCTGAAAATATACCTGGAATAATCCATCTAAAACCACAAGAAATTGTAAGAAGGGCAAGGAAATGCATTAGGTTATCTTTTTGTTTTTGTAACTGTGAAGCTGAGTCCAGAGGGGAATCCTCTGTGTTTAAATCTTTGTATTACCCTGTAAAGTTACCTTCCATTCTGATTTTGCAGGTGTGATTCTTTTATCTTTATTACAAAGTTCTTCTTCTAAGAACCTGATTGATTTCAGTGTCCTGAAGACAAAGGGTTTGGTCTGTGCTCACGTTGCTAAGGCAGTTGGTTAGTATATTATTCTCAAGCCTCCCCAGGAAAGGGGGGTGAAGGAGCTTGGGGGGGATAGGGATTCCAAGTGACCCTTCCCTAAATTTTTGTGTAAATCACTTAGTGGTGGCAGCAATACCATCCAAGGACAAGGAAAGGAATTTGTGCCTTGGGGAAGTTTTAACCTAAGCTGGTAGAATATAAACTTAGAGGGTCTTTCGTGCGGGTCCCCACATCTGTACCCCAGAGTTCAGAGTGAGTGAGGGGGAACCCTGACACATGGGATCAGAGGAAAAGAACCTAATCAATCGAACTTCTTTACAGACTGTTTGTTTTATTGAAAGTTTGAAAAATGGCAATACTGTATTCAATGGAAAGTAGAGCAATTTAGGCAAAAAGGAAAAGCAAAGTAGATAATGCAACACCTTTTCAGTGGACCATAAAATAACCTGAACATGTACATACAAGCTTTTGGGGTTCCAAGTGTGTCTTGCATGTCAAGGGACTATGGTTTAATAGTTTCGTACACAACTTTTTACAATAATGGAGAATTGAAGCCGCATGTTAATGAACTCTTAATTTTGTTTTTTTCCATAAAATTAAGAAAATATACTAAAGGGGAACTCTATTTAGATTTACTATTGTAATTGTTGAAGACATACTATAGATGGTGGTTCACAGCCGTTGAACTTACCGGTAATTGTCCAGCTATATCGGAAGAAGGACAGGAGACACCTGGATGTGGTTTAATTAGGCTGTAATTTTTATTAACTGTTTGTTTGCTTAAAGTGTCGTGCAGTCCTTTTGCAAAGGCTGATGGAACTGGCAGTCTCTTGCTTTCCATTGCAGTGTCCTTCTATAGTAAATGCACCAAAACTGCTGCTTATCATGGGTGGTGGGGGAATTCATACTTTTACAGGAATCCCACCTTCCAGGAGGGAAAAAAAAATACATTTTTATTGGATTCCTACCTCTCAACATGGAATAAATTATACATGTAACTTGATTTCAACGTTTCTGTACCGTAAGTGTATGCTTTTTATTAGTCATGCAGACGGCATTTGAATTGATACTGTATATATCGTTCGATTTTTTGTTAGCTGGTAGCTTGATTAAAAATGAAATCAAGAAAGATTGCATCTACGCTTCTTTTCATAAAAGATGTGAGAGAACATTTTAAATAAATATTTGGGTAATGGAAAAAGTCACTTTTTTTTTTTCTTCTGTCAAAGAAATCTCCTAAACGAGGCTTTCTCAGAACAAAGTAAATTGGGATAAGGAGGGGAGAGCTTGTGGACATGGTTCAAATGAATGTCATCCTGAGTCGACTTCTAGTTTTGGTTGAAAACTTCGGAAAAGTGAGGGTTTTTTCCCCTCATGACCTTTTGTTCTGTGCCTTATTCATGAAGTCATTTTTGATAGTGTTTTCATAGCACATTAAGTCTTCATCAACTTTTATCTAACTAATACACTGCCTGAAATGATCAAAGGTTACATTATAATGAATAGAGATGTGAAGAGCTGCCCAGGATTCAGTTTTGTATATGAATATAGTGGCTATTCAAAATTGCTGAGATTGTACATTGCAAAGCTTGGATGGTAATTTGGGTATCCACAGTTGCTGTGCAAATCATTTGTTCCACTACTAGCATGTCTAACTGGCTTGTTTTTAAATGTGACAAACTGGCCCAGAATGGTCAGTCTATAGGTTTTCTTTTGGTGAGAAAATAACCATGCTAAGCTTGCCTGCTTAGTTTCTTAGCAAAATGCACACTGGCCTAACTAAGAATTACCAGTCATCTGCTATTCACCATATTTGAAAATGGTATTTAAAAGCTGCTGGAAAAGTTACACAGGTACTTTGCGGTTCTCTAGGAATGTAAGCTCTGAAAAACTGAAACTTTGTATTGTGAATTATATCTGGAGATATACCTATCTCCTAGAATTGTAAGGGACCCCAAAAGGTCATTGAGTCCAGCCCCCTGTCTTCACTAGCAGGACCAAGTACTGATTTTGCCCCAGATCCCTAGGTGGCCTCCTCAAGGATTGAACTCACAACCCTGGGTTTAGCAGGCCAATGCTCAAACCACTGAGCTATCCCTTTCCTCACATACCTAGTTTGTGTTTTCAGAAATTCATAACTTGGGGTCCAGTTGTTCAAACCCATGTAACTTTCATGCAGGTAATTCAATTGACTTCAATAGAGATACTTGTGCGAATGAAGTAATATGTGTAAGTTTCAATGGGATTGGGCCATTGGTTAACTTGCAGCAAAATTTGTTCCAACTTGGTGACAAGCATACATAGTGAGGATTAAATACCTACTGTATTTCAAGTTTCAAAGTTCAGCTAGTTTTGGATTAACTCTATCTGGGTCTGGTGAGTTAGGGAGGGCATAGCAATTTTTCATTGACAAAAGTGGGTGTGAGAGAATGTGAAAACATGCATCAAAAACAGCCAAAGGGTTTTCCTTCAACTTTATGAAGAAATGTAGAGACCAAACATGGAAACTTGCAGAAAAATTGTCTGTTTGGACTGAAAGTTATTAGTGAGGGAAGGTGAATAATTGTTTTGTACCTCTGTCTGTAGTGTTGACTTTCTCAACAAAGTATATCAATCCATTTGATACAAGGAAATCTGATTTTTCAAATCTAGAGATGCATGTTCAGAGTTAATATATGTAATGTACTATCTTTTTGTTAATTTTTCTAAGCTAAAGTATTGCTTCATACTTATTTAACAATATTTTCCAGTTAGAGAGAGGCTTGGGGAAAAGAAGATATGTTCAACTTTTTCCGAAAAAGCCAAGACTCTAAGAAGGTGTCATTGCCAGAAAGAGAGGCAGATGGATTTGTTCTTTTGGGTAAGTGATTCTAATGTAATACTGTTTTATAAAGTGTTTTAATAATATTACTACTGTCAATTTGGTACTTTTTTTTTAAATTTTTACATGAAAACAGAATGAGGAACAGAAATTGGTCAAAACACTGAACATATGCACACAATTCTATTTCTTTAAACAAGATTATAATTGTTGCTTTCATTTCATATATTGTGATAAAGAGAAACATGGGTACTTTAAGCTAAATACTAAGGCTCTTAGCTGGTTGCCCAATGAAAGAGGTAAAATAAGAACACTGTGTTGCTGAAAAACATGAATAATTTCAACACTTTCTTCCCCCATTAAAAGGGAGAACTACTCTTCTTAAGCATTTATTTGTTATAAACTCAGTTGCTACCAAAGTCTTCCAGATATTAACTCGGAAATGTCTGCATGTTACATATGTTATTTATAGTCACATATGAAATGTAGGTCTTCTCTCTCAGAATCTGGCACTTGAGTACTTTGGTGAAAATTTAAGAAGTTAGTAATGCTTTAGTCTCCTAAAATGTCAGTTATTATAAATTGGATTTTCCAGAAATAAAATGGAATTCTGCTCATTTTAATCTATGAATTTGTCAAACATTTTTTAATCAAGTCTTTCATGGTCATGTAAGAGGGATCAAATGTGAGGAAAATCAAGTTTTTTATTACCTTTGTATTGCAACTGATCTTTTATTTCTTATTGCAATTAATTCCATCCTTGTGTAAATCTGTCATTATAAATACTCTGATGCCATCATTATCCTGATTTACTGATTTGTTCTTGCCAGAGGTCTTCCACCTCTCTATTTGCAGCTGACTTTTTCCTACTAATACTGAGTATTTCAGTTACTGTGGATGTATTTAGGAGTTTCTTCCATTTGTGCTGATTCTAACCTTTTCAGAGAGATTCCCTGTGGATGTAACGAGTATTATCACTGGAATGGTTAGGAAATTTCATAACAGAAGAAATTTTTTAACGGAAGTATTAGGCAGTAGCTTCCAGAACAACTGTTTGTCTTGTAAGTAGTTGGGACACCTATTGGTATGCAAGTTGTTAGGGCAGGTCTACTTTCAAGGATATAACTTTTACTTTTGTAATGTCCTGTTTAACAGTGGCCTCTCAGTAAACTTACTTGATCTGCTACAGCCCTGTATCCACAAACTTCAGTTTTGGTAGCTAAATCTATTAATTCTGACACCTGCATTTTTAAAAAAAAATCTCTTCAAAAGCTTCTGTAAAGCACTTCAGAAGTAATGACTATATAGCTTGAGGCAGTCCCAGAGTCAATGCTGCAATTCCAGGCGTGAAGAGCTGTGGGCAGAAGTGTCTTACATGTCACATACATCCTGGTGGTGACTGTAATTTTTGTTTTGTTTTAAACTAACACAGTGGTTAACCTTGCAAATTACTTCAAAATAGATTGCCATATAATTATTTCTTTCCCTTGTAAAGGAATGTCCAGTAGTCCTGACAGTGGAAGGTATCATTCCCTTATAGATGGAAGCAGGTACAAAACTGTCAACTTCAGGGGAAGCTGTCACAGGAAGGAATGCCTTCTTCAGGAAGTCATTAGGAGTTCTGTCTCCATTTATCCCAGAGCAGCAGCAGTTTAGAAACTTTAGCTACCTGTGTGGTTTTAATTTGGTGATTTTTCTTAAAATTATTTTTCAGATTTGATGGTAAAGTACTTTAGGCCCTTTAAATCTTGTTTTATTTTTTTGTTTTTTTTGGGGGTTTTTTTTTTGTCAGTGGAGTCTGGATTTTAACGAAGGCATACAAGAGTAAATAACTTAAGAAACCGAGTCTCTTTCCAACTCCTTCGCCAAGGGAGGAAGGATAGTTCTTTCTGTACTGGGAAAAAGGAGGGAGAGCCCCAGGTCAAACGTGATACTGTGGTCAGGAGAGTTTCTGTCACTATAAGTCTTCAGCTAAATTCTGTGGCATGTGAGAATTCAGACATCCTCATAAAGTACTTCTGAATGGGGTTTTATAAGGAAAGGGTGATCCCAGTACACAAATTTATAGAGGTAATTATTCATTGTTCTTTGTGCTAAAGTCCACAGATCTGTTGCAAGAGATACCTCGTCTGTTTGCGAGTTGGAGGCAGAAACAGACTTGTCAGTCACTGGCTGCAAGGGAATGCCTGACCTGAAGTTCCCCTCCAGTCTTCTCTGCTTCCATAGTGGCCAGTGGCTCAGCGAGCCTTCTCTGTTGCATAGCTTTTCTGAGGGAAATTCCAAACTTGATTTCAAATTTTTACATTAATATTTTTGGCTCTGTGTCTGTCTCTAATTCTGATCTGTGTCTCAGAGCTGAGTTTGGCTGTCTTCTGCAGGGCTTTTGCTGAGGTTCAATTGCCCTGATAAGGGATTTTTACAAAAGATGAAGAGTACCCTAGAAGAAATAGGTGGGTGCAGGATTCTAAACAGTGCTACAAAGGAATGAGTGGCAACATAGCATAAGCTTTCACCATGTCGATTGGGTTCAGGGAAAACCAGTTATTGGGAATCACCAAATAAACTCCACCCCCTTCCCTCATTCCTCCTCCTCTCGCCATGCTTTCCTAAAGGCCAAACAAAGTTAGAAAATAAATTGTGGGTGAATGTAAACACATGGATATCATTAGACTCCTTGTTGGGTCGTAATTGAGAGTTTCCATCTCTCAGTTTCGTCCATTGCATTACCTCTAGAGGTAAGCACCTTCCACAGGTAGTTGTGAATGTGAAATTTGTTAGCTAGCAGGTTAAAGAAGTCCTCAACACTCCTTCCCATGAGGCCCGTTGCTGTATATGTATGCATCACAGCCACAAGCCAATAGTGTTTTTATCTCTGGATAAAGAGTGAGAAGTCTATTCTCTGTGGAATTAAAACAACAAAAAAGTATATTTTGTTGCTGAGTGTTGTCTTGTGCTAAGAACACCACCTTTGCGCACACACTTCTATACTGTGGTGATCTCTCACAATAAAATTGTTAAATGAACACTAAATGATCACAGTAAAGATATGGAATGCTACTTGCTAGCATTCCCTAAGTGTTTGGAAGCTGTTTTATGCCAATAGTTCTATTCTCCCTGTTTCGTAATACAAGAACAAGGGAATAGTCAATTAAACAGAATGGTGGCAAATTCAGAACTAATAAAAAGGACATTCTTTTTCATACAATGCATAATCAGACTGTGGAATTCATTTCTGCAACATGTTAAGGCCAAGAACTTACCAAGATGCGAAGAGGGATTAGATGTGTATTAAATAACCAGAATATCCAGAGTTATAATAGTGAATGTTTCCAAATCTTGAAAGAGAGAAAACTTCCTGTTTTCAGGCTTTAAGCCAATCTCTGCTAGGGATGAGATCTTTGTTGGGGTCAGAGGATGTAACACATCATCCCGCATCTGCCAACTGTGATTGTATCTTGTGCAGGATACTGGACTGGATGGACCATGAGTAAGGCTAAGATTTTTGTCAAGGTTATTTTTAGTAAAAGTTACCGGACAGGTCACGGGCAATAAACAAAAATTCATGGACCCCGTACTTATCTGTGACTTTACTAAAAATAACCAGGGGCAGGGCTAAATAGGGTGGAGGAATGGAGTCCCGTGGGTGGGTGGGGAACTGACAGGCCAAGACCCCCGCCATGGCTGGGGACACAGCCCTGGCTTCAGCGGCGGGCACAGCCATGGGGGAGGGCTGGGGGGGTGGTGGCGTGCAGCCCTCTGCTCCGGAGCTGGCCGCAGCTGCAGGACGGGGTGTGTGGCCCCAGCTATGGCCCCGCTAAGTCCCGGCCGCAGCCAAAAGGGGGCACACTGCCCTGGCCGCAGCTCCTGGCGGAAGCTGTGGGACTGGGGCGCAGCAGGGGGAGCAGCCCCCACTCTAGAGCTGGCTGCGGGACAGGGGTGCACAGCCCAGCTGCAGTCCCCCCACTGCCCGAAAACCAGGGGCTGCAGGGTCCTGATTCCAGCCATCCAGCCCCAGTTGCAGCAGGGCAGGGGTGCACAGTCCTGCCTCCAGCCCCCACGTCAGCTGCTGACAGCTGAAGCGGAAGAAGTCACTGAGGTTTGGTAAAGTCACGAAATTCGTGACTGTCGTGATCTCTGTGACTAAATCATAGCCTTAACCATGAGTCTGATTCACTATGGTAATTCCTATGTTAAAGGTCATATGTAGTTCACTTCAGTCGTTGGTATCCTAGCATACAGGAACTGGTTTGTCTACAATGGTGTACAGCAGATTTAATATTTAGTTTTTTTGAGAATTGCAGTTTTGTTGCAGAAAATATTTTAAAATAATCTCTTGAATCCACTGAAGTTCTTCCATATGAGGAAAAAACAATGCAACATGAGTCAGTTTTCTGTCCAGAAAATATTGACTTTGTCCTTCGAAAAAGCTAAGTATTTTTTTCTCACCTTTATTTTCCTACAGCGTATTCTAGATATACAAGTGCCTGAAGTATTGTTTGCAGTGAAAGGAAGAATTGGATACACTACAAATTGGAATTAGTGGGGCTGTGTAGCTTTCCGTTATAAATAGAGTATAATTAGGGCCCGGTGTAAATCATGATTGGTTTTTTAATATTTATTTTTATAACATTCATAATAGTGTAAAGGGCAAAGTATTGAATTTCACAGAGTTTGCACGATTTGAATTTTACAGGTTAATATACTCCCAGGATAGAATGAGTTCAGTAGACTAAATTTAGCTGTAAAATTCATTGTGTTGTGTAGCTGAGTTGTGTTGCATGCACGCAGCAGTCTATTTGTCCCCAAAATTTGGAAACAGCACTGTAAGCTAAGGTAACTTTTTGTATTAAAGACTTAATAGACATTTTTCTTTTTTAAAAACTTTTTAAAAGATCACAGTTTGGGCATTTTCATGATTTCCATGCCCTTCCTGAAATCAAGATTTACACAAAGCCAGAAGTGTATTATATTCCTTGCAACATTAAAGACCCAAAACGATGAAGGCAATCGGAAAGTGATAGAAGTAGATTTTGTTTACA